TCCTAGCTCAGTCTTCATTTAGGAGACTCTTCTTTTTGGACTATTGGGCTCAACCACTGAGCCACATCACATCAATATCTTTATTTTATTTATTTATATGTTGTGCTGAGAATTGAACCCAGGGCCTCACATATGCTAGATGAGTGCTATGGTAATTTTTGCTGTTTAGTAGTATGTGAGAATATTTTCTAATTTGGAGATCATATGATTTTGCTAAGACACTGCCATATTCTTAACTCCAGTAAAATTTTTGACCAGTTCTTAGGGATACAGTGGCTTCAGTTTGAACATAGAACCAGAAAATGAAATGGAGATTTTTTTATTTTTATTTTTTTTTATTTCTAAAATTTTCAATTTAATATTTTTGAACCATGGTTGACCACAGGTAATTGAAACCATAGAAAATAAAATCATAGCTAATGGACTGCAGTTGGGATTTTAGAGTATGTAGTCTTTTTAGACTTGCTTCTTTCACTCAGCAATATGCATTTAAATTGCTTCCATATCTTTTTCATGTTCATTTGTTTTTAGTATTGGAAAATATTCCATTATCAGGATGTACTATGGTGTATTTATCCATTCACCTACTAAAGGACATCTTGATTGCTTCCAAGTTTTGGCAATTGCGAATAAAGCTGTCTTTGTACGTACACACATTTTAAACTCCTTTGAGTGAATATCGAGGAATGTGATTACACGGACACGTATTTAGTTTTATAAGAAACTGCAAAACTGTCTTCCAAAGTGGCTATGCAGTTTTTCATTCCCATGAGTAATGGGTAAGTATTTCTTCCTGTTACTCCACATCCTCACCAGCATTTTGTGTTGTCAATGTTTTGGAATTTGTCCTCTCTAATAAGTTTATAATCGTGTCTTATTTTTGTTTGCAACTTCCTAATGGCCAATGAAAATATGCCATTGTTGAATGTCTTTCATAATCTTACTTGCCATCTGTATGTCTTCTTTGGTGATGTGTGTTTAGATCTTTTGCTCATTTTTAAATTGAGTTATTTCTATTTATGGGGGAGCTGCCAGGGATTGAACTCAGGAGCACTCAACCACGGAGCCACATCAACAGCACTATTCTCTATTAGGGTGTCACTGAGTTGCTTAGTGCTTCACTGTTGCTGAGGCTGGGTTTGAACTTGCAGTCATCCTAGATCAGCCTCCCAAGCCTCTGGGATTATAGGCATGTGCCACCAAGCCTGGCCAACTTGGGTTATTTCTTACTGTTGAAGTTGGTGTTTTTTTTTTTTTTTTTTTTCTTAGTTACACATGACAGTATATTTTGACATATTTGTACAAACATGAAGTATGTCTTATTCTAATTAGGATCCCTCCAGTCTTGTGGATGTACATGATATGGAAATTCACTGTGGTGTATTCACATATGTCATAGGGAAGTTACATCAGATTCTTTCCACTGTCTTTCCTATTCCTAACCTCCCTCCCTTCCCCTTCATTCCCTTTTCTCTAATCCACTGAACTTCTATTCCCCACTCCCCTTGTGGTTTTTCTTGTTTTTTTCTGATCTTAGAATATAGGAACAATTATTAGATGTTCTTTTAGAATACCTTTGTGACAAAGTACTGGTTTCAGGTTTACTTGGGGACTTTTAAGCCCTCATGAAGGGTTTTTCTTACTGTGCTCTTTTTGTTTTAATTGGGTAGAAACTGATCTGCCCTTTGGGACTGGGCACATCATATTTACAGAGGGACATATCAGGAGTGTTATTTGCTGTCAAGAGTTCCCTTAAAAAGCTCTCTCTTAAAAGAGACTCCCTTTTGTATGATTTAATATTTGATTCCTTTAGGAAGTAAGCAAGTATTAACAGTAACCTGTTTAATAATGCTAGAGAAATGAATCATTTATATGACATTGGAATAGAATAAAATATTGCTAATTTGGTATTCTAGCTCAGTATCATGTACCTTTTACTGCAGTAAATCTATTTGATAAGCTATTTTGCATAGAAGTCTAAGATTGATTGTGCATTTCTTGTGTTCCTAAACAGATTAAAATGATGTTTTAATGACAACCAATGTGAGTATGGGTTATTATCTTCTATTAAAGATTATTGTAAGGATGGTTAAGAGGCTTGCCTGTGGGCTCTGATAAAAAAAAAATAAATAAAAATGGCCTCCTACCACTACACTGTTCTTGTGTCTTTTCTGTTCCCTTTGTAGCCCTACTACCCTCTACCAGCACTGTCTTTCTTTAAATCATTGGGTCAGGTTTTCTCTAAAGTCTCTAGATTCTAGAGTTTGTGCAGTTTTAAGTGTTTAGAATCATGTCTAAAACAGATTCTAGGTAAAAGTGTGTTCTCTGCTACATATTTGGCTTTTTCTTCCCTCCTGCTTCCAATTCCTCAATAAATTACACAAATATCACCTACTTGGATAAATGATACTTTACTTTTGAGAATCTCAGAAGTTTCCTCCCCCAATTCTGGTTTAAGAAAAAGAGAGAAGCCAGGCACTGAGGAGAGAGCCTGTCATCTCAGCTACTCGGGAGGCCCAGGCAGGAGGGACACATGAGCCCAAGAGTTTGAGGCCAGACTATGAAACATACCATGGCAAGACTTTGTCTCAAAAAAAAAAAAAAAAAAAAAAAACCACAAAGAATAACAACCAAACCAAAACACAAAACCACACACTAGCAAAATAAAGAACAAGAAAGAAAAATGGAAGAGTTGACCTTTGAATTCAAGTTATTGTTTTATTAGTTGTTACATTTTATACTTATTTTAAATAATATTCATTCTGGCTGTGCTTTTTTTTAAATGTTTTTTTTTTTTTAGTTGTAGATGGAGACAATATCTTTATTTTATTTATTTTTATGTGGTGCTGAGGATCGAGTCCAGTGCCTCACACGTGTAAAAATCATATCATGTCTGATACATGCATGCTGAATAAATATACTAAATAAAGGAATTAAAGTATGACCTATTTTTTTTTCAGCTTTCCTATTTTTCAGTTAAGGAGGAACACAAGAGTTTGGTGTCAGTTAAAAAATGTGCAACAGTTGATAAGAGAAAAACAGTTTTACTGCAGTTCTAATTTAAATTTGGCTTTTAGAAGCAGTAAGTAGCCAAGGAAGGGAATTCTTAGTTATTAATCATGATTGCTTCATGTTTGGAAGTAAATGTGTATTCAGAAGGCATGATTATACTTAGTATTGTATGCAAGTGGATGTTATGTTATATAAAAATAAGGCATTTTTGATACAGTCTTAAGAAAAATGTCTTTATTCATAAAAGTTAAAAAACTTAAGCATACTTCACTGTTGATGAATTTGTCCCCATAGAAGCCAACCTCCTTTTTTTCTTTAACTTTTAAAATTCTAGTGGCAATTTATTTTGTATCATTCTTTTTATAATTTATATCCTGGAGATACATAAAAACTGGAAATCATACTTTTCCCTACCAACATTTCCAAAAATTTCACCCAGATTCCCTTTCCTGTGTCTGTGATCTGATAATGAAACAAGGAAGCTTATTTTAAGTTGATTTAATATGCAATAATGTAACCTTAGCTCAGCAAGTACTTTTAATATGTAAATTGTGTTTTCCTATAGACAGTTTTTACACAAAGTTGGTAGTAGGGTCTTGTGAAATCATGGAAGTTGGCTCACTTGATATGGATCCAGGAGCTCAGCCTGTGGATGTTCTCATGTGGTGCTGCTAGTTCTCTGCAGCTGTGCTGCTGACCTCAGGCCAGTCCCTTTACCTTTGTTCTATAAACATGCTTATTTTTGTCTTCTCTCCCAGTACCTCTCCACCAGGCACTGCCCCAGGTAGGAAACATGTGGAAATATTTGGGGGTGTTTTTGTTTGTCATATTCTGGGACCTACTTACTTGGGTCCAGGGGAAACTGGGGTTGTGAGATATCTTGCAGTAGGAAGAGTGGTCACATGGGACCAGCACTGTCCTGTTAAAACATCCAGAAGCACCCTCTGCAGAAACATGGACAAGTCTCTGTGAGGACAGGTGCAGCAGCCCATGAACCCCCCCACAGAGGGTCTGTGTGCTGCACAGATTCGAGGCAGTGTCCCATTTGTAAATTTTTCCTTTTCACACCTGGCATTTTGGCAGGTGATATGATCTTTTTATTTATTAATATTTACATAATATGTATCGCATTCCTTTTAAGGAAAATGTGTGTGTGGTAGGTTTTCCTCTTAAGAACAATATTGACTGTTTTTAAAGCTATCATTTGGCTTTCATGGTTTCTGTTTATTTATGACTGTTAGAAGAATATTTCCAAAAGAATAGAGCATGCTAAACATACTGAGTGTGATAAATGACACTGGGTGGACAGTGGTTTACATAGCTGTTTCCTGTATTGCAACCAGTTGTGAATGAACCTTTTCCTGCTTCACAGGGCCCAGTGGACTCTATAAAGAAGGATAGAATTTTGCTGTTTTGCTTTTCTTTGTTCCTGTTATATATTTCTGTAGTTTCCTTCTTCCTTCATTTTCCCTCTGTCTGCCTGCCTGCCTGTCTGCCTGTCTCTGTCCTCCCCACCCACTCAGAATACAGAGTAGCTGTAGGTAGGGGATTATTTTCTTCTGCAACCACTGGTTTTAAGATTCTACAGAAACTAAATACAAACATAGCAAAAGGTCTGGCTACATTTTTATGATTTCATTATGTTGTTTGTATGCTCGATACTTTGAAGGAGGTTTTATGCAGGTGGTTTTGGTAACTTGGAAGCGAGGTATATGTTATATCAATATAATAATTTAAAAATAATGAGCCCATCAGTAGTTTATTTGTTCTATTTCAAAATTACGGTTTTCTGTACATGGCCTTAAGTCTAGGAAGAAGCATTTCTGTTTTCAAAACCTTTTATTTTGTGTTGCATGTTTGGAGAATTTAAGTGAAAACTTTTTTGAAATGATCGACTGTCAAATAACTGTAAGTAACTCAGCGTGAAGAGAGGTGTTCAATGAAATGTTTTCTTCCATGGTGACATTTTTACTTCTATTTCTAAACAGAGACAAAGCATGGAGGACACAAGAATGGGAGGAAAGGAGGACTTTCTGGAAGCTCCTTTTTCACTTGGTTTATGGTCATTGCCTTGCTGGGAGTTTGGACATCAGTAGCCGTTGTTTGGTTTGATCTTGTTGATTACGAGGAAGTTCTAGGTAAGAATTGTGATATGGTTTCTTACATGAATTTGTAAAAGGGTAGGTGACATCCCTTAGTCATCGTGAAGGTTTGTTATTATCTTTATGGTACTGTTCATTTTGGTACTGAATTGGTACTGAACCATTTATTCAGTGGTTCTCCATAGGATGAAGCAAGAGGGAATGTTACCAGGATTACCTCAGTGGCTTTTGAACTTTATTAAAAAAAAAAAAAAAGATTGGGCTGGAGTTGTGGCTCAGTGGTAGAGTGCTCGCCTAGCACGTGTGAGGCACTAGGTTCGATCCTCAGCACCACGTAAATGTAAAATAAAGATATTGTGCCCACCTAAAACTAAAAAAATAAATATTTTTTTAAAAAGGCTTTGTAGTATTTGAATAGTACACATAGTTTCATCAGAATGAGTTTTATCAAACTCGTTCTTGCTACATGTTGTGCTTTATACTTTCTATTCAGGTTTATTTATGTTATGGATTTTTAAAATTCTTGATCATGAACCACTGAATTTACTTAAGGATCTATGAACAGCATAACCACACAGTTTGAGAAACCCTTCTTCAGAGAGGATTTTCAAAGCACCCCCACCTGTGTCTGTTGGGGGAAGTACCTGTGTAAAAGTGTGCGTGTCCTGGGACAGGTGTGTGGACGTGACTGTGAGTGGATGGCTGTGGTCTGTATACTACTCTGAGGATGGTGCTGTGGTACTTGTGATCGTGCTCCCCCTTTTTCTCCTTTTCTCTTCCCATAATTGCTAGTCTTTCCTGATATTCTTACATTAATAATTCTTTATCATTTTCATTGTTTTAAAAATTGAGATGAAAGTCATATAATATAAAATTCAAAATCAAATATTTGAAAATGTATCATGTATTGGTCTTTAGTATGTTAGTCACTTTGTGCAACCATCATCATTGTCCAATTCCAGAATATTTCTAATACCCTCTCCCCCCATACTTCCCCCCAACCCCTTCACTCTCAGGGCGAACACTAGCCTGTTTTCTATGTCTGTACTTTTCCCTTTTCTGGAGATTACATATAAATGGAATCATACAATATCTTTATCTTTATTGCTTGAAGGAAAGGGTCTCTAGATACATGAATAAACTAACAGAATTTTAGTTCAGTGAGAAACTTCGGAGTAGATCTTTGTTGTCATTGGCTTACAGTACTATGCTGCTAGGGAATATATGTTAAGGAAGAGATTTTAAATATTTGTACCTTTAGACACAAGTAACAATTTTCATGTTTTTACATGCACGCAGCCAAAGCAAAGGACTTCCGTTATAACTTATCAGAGGTGCTTCAAGGTAGGCTATTGGAGATGCATTGGAACTGCACTTTTGTCAGTCTCTAAAACTTCATTCTTAGTCTACTAATTTAACTATCACCTGCATCAGAGAATGTAAATGAGAGGTTCAATTTTCCCTCATAAATTTGTCAGAAGGCAAGTATTTTCTGGTTTTTTTTTTTTTTTTAATGTTATTTGAGCTTTATGCTGTATACAGCCTTGAGCTTCAGGTTTTAGGATTTCATTTTCATAGCAATAGAAATAACACATTCGTCTCTCCATTATTGTCATTACCATTTTTAATTTGTATGTGCCAAGTCAGACTTCTTTATAGCAAATGTGCTATTTTGTAGAGCACAGGGCTTTGGGAAAATAAAGAAAATTTCTGCCTGCTTTTATGCAATCTTTTAATACATACATTGTGCTAAAGAAATGGTGAAAGGGTTGACAACTCTTTTTAATGCCAGTGCTTTATTAGCATGTTGTTTAAAATATTGCTGTACAATATGTTTCTTCATAGTTACTGTCCAATGATGAATTGTCAACTATGCTGGTTTTTAGAATTTTATTTTAGGGTATTGAATATAGTGGACTCATTGAAATGCCAAACGTTCTAGTCTTCCTAATGAGGAAGGATTAAAGTCTTGAAAATACATATTTATTCTTCTTAAAATGTAAAGGTCAGTTCTTGTGGAACTGTCTTCTCAGCATATATGTTCTAAGATTTTGATTATTGATTTTTTTTTTTTTGCTATTTTATAGTAGATGGCCAGTGCTAATTAAGTTTTTAAGTAGGATAACCATTAAATTTTACTTTGTAGTTTCAGGAAGCCTCCAGTTTTATAGCCTTTATTTCCAGAACAGTCCCCCCCCCCCCCCCAGTTAAGATTGATTCATGATATTTTTGTTGTGAATCATTATTGAAAAATATGAAAGTAACTATCCTCATTTTCAGCAATAATACTCCATGCTGACTTATTTGCTGTATTATATGTAGTCTATACTTAATAGTCTGTATTTGAGGATTGGTTGTTTTTTCTTTTGCTTCAAGTATTTGTAGTGTGATGAAGTTTCACACTTTAAAAACATCAAATTTTATGTAACTCAAAAATGGGTTGGAATTTTTTTTATACATGTTCAAAATTATATCCAAAACAGTTTTAGCAATATAAATGAAGGTTCTGAAGTGATTATATCAAGGTACGGTGAAACCTTTAAGAAAAATATTATCCCAGTTATATGTCTTAGAATTTGTGAGGTGAATAATTTCTGGATCTCTAAATGATTTGCCCAAAAATTTTACATAAGATATTCACATTGCATTGGTTTGCAGTATTAAAAGTATAAATTACCAGAATTGGCTGGGAACATTTATTTATAATGGTATGAAGGACTACAATAAGGATGATACCTTACTAAATTTGTTTTCCCTTTTGTTCCTACACCCATCATCTCTCTCCTATTGTAGGAAAACTGGGAGTCTATGATGCTGATGGGGATGGAGATTTTGATGTGGATGATGCCAAAGTTTTATTAGGCAAGTACACCTTTTATTTATTTTTTTGTTAGTAGTAATAAACTACTGGAAACAAGAGAATATTTTTGTTTTAATAATATCTACTTTGGTTATAAACATTTTATGGAAGATATTATGCCACTTAAATGGTACATTCCATTTTTGCTCAGAGGTTGTGACTTGACTTTTCTATTAAAACTCTGACATTTCAATTTACTTTTACAAGTAAATAAGTATATAACTTTTTCACACACATTTTTTAGTAAGTATAATTTAATTTGTGTTTTTAGACTGAAAGCACTTTATATTCTGAACCTAATATTTGAAGATATAGTGTACTAGTTTGTTTTCAAAGATGGTAATCATAGTCATTCTTAACATCATTTGACATAATTCACTTCCACTTGAAAATGTAAATTTCTAAAGGCTTACATAAACTCATTTTGAAATGGAATTGTGGTAGTAAACATCTTAAAAAGCTTAGCCATATTTTAAAAATAACATTAAGATATGAACTAGTGGTCTTTTGACTAAGTTTCCTCATTTTGAAAATTTTGAACTCTGCATTTTCTATCATCAAGTCACCTGTTTTTAATCATTGAGCAGTTTCTTCTAATAAAAAAGATGTGGTATTCTTCTTCCATTTGTTTTAAAATGCTGTCTTCTAGAAAGAACGGTGCTGATTTTAATATGCAAATTTAACACAATCTGCCTAGGTGAGATATATAGTTCTGCTTTTAAACAGCATGATTTCCTTTGTCTTATGAAGCAAAATAGTATTGAAACATCATATCCAAGTGTTTAAAAATACAATAGCTATGGTAGGATATTTCACACTAAGCTTAATGGAGTATATCTTTTTACGCACTCTATTTTGTTTTTCTATGAACATGAAAAAAATGGAAGTAGACTCTATTTGTAACCAGTTAAACTGTTTTTGGTAGGTAAATTTTACCTCCTCTTAAAACAATGAATTCTAAGTATGAAAAAAGATTTTAGTTATGATTATATGTAATATACCTTCTTATTTTGACCTGTTTTAGTTTATATTTTCTTATTACTACTTAATGGAAATTAGTATTTGCTACTTTTAGTGAAACATACTATAAAATTTCCATGAAATTTTTTCTTCTGACTTAACCTTAATGGAATTGTCTATGTAATTCTATTGCATATCTAGAGTTTCTGTACATACGTTAAATCTTCAGATTGCTCTAACTTTAGGCATGTGAAACAGTTATGTAGATCTTTACATATCAAGATTATGGTAATTTGCTTGCTATAAGTGGTTTATTATTCCAAACATTACTTTAATTGATGAATTCTGAATCATAGAACTTTTTATTTAAAAATTTAAAAATAACTTCATATGGGTCAAATTCCCCCCTTTTAAAATCATCTCCTTATCTACTGTATTTTATTGATTTTTTTTTAAAATTAATAATTTGATTTTTTTAGCATATGCTAGATTCCAAAAGCTTCTTCCCTCTGAGATTTTTAACCAATCACTAAAAGATTAATTAAATGTCACTCTGAGAATCACTCTTTGCAGGTAGATGCATGTGGCTTGTGCAAATGAAAACTTGTCTTCATCACTGAGATTCTACCTCTAAGTACATAAGAACTAGGTACTTAGAGGTAGAATCTCAGTGGTGAATCTCAGTGTTCATTTTGATAATTTGACTAATAATAAACAAAGAAAGATAAAGAAATTACATTATATGTAATGTCCATAGTTAGCTTGTGGCTTTTGTCAAAATGAAACAAATCAAATGCAAACTGTCAGGCTCACTATCACCTCTGACTTTAGTTCTATACTGTTTGAATTCTCTGCATGGAATACAACCTTAACTTGAATTGAAATCAGTGATTAGAGTTCTTCTCTTCTGGTAAGTGAGGTAATTGTAGCTCAGCAGTTACTGGCTGTTGACTTCAAAGATAGAACCTGGTGAAAATTTGGGGACCACAAATACTTCAGTGGGCTCTGTATTATCAGAAAGAGGTCATGGAGGTGCAAATGCAGTGAGTATGTACCCCAGAGAAGCCAGGGTTCCTGGCTCCATTCTCACTAGGGTGATCCTGAGAAGGGCTGAGCTGAAACCTTAAGGGTTCAAGCTTTGGATTAAAGCCTAAGGAGTCCAAGGGGAGGGAGGATGGTAGAAGAGACTGGGGAGAGCTTGGCATGGCAGCTGTAATAATAGTTGAGATATATTGAACTATCTTAGGTTTGGTGTTTATTTAATAAATATTCTTTTTCTCGATTCTTCAGTCTGCACATATCTAAATCATTTCAGTTTGTGGAAATGTACACTTTCATGTTTATATTTCTTTAACATTTTAAGGTTTGGCTTTTCTTGTAAAATATGAAAAGAGAAATACATGGGTAAATCAAGATTTATAACCATCATTAATTTTATTACTTTATTATTTCTGTCTAAGGCCTTTCTGATATACTTTGACAATATACTAAGCCTGTTCTTGATTACAATGCTTCCTATTTTTGTGGTCAAATAATCAAAAATAAAAGTATGTTTGATTTTCGTTTGGATTATTGAAAACTACATTGCTCAGAGATGTGTTTTGTAAAAACTTGTTTCCCACATAAAATCAACATGAAATATTCTAGGACTAAATGCTGAGAATAAATCTTCTCAGAGTGACAGCACATAAGATTGCACTGCTGTCCTCTTGTCCTGTGACTAGCACCTCGCTGGGACAAAATAGAAGGCTGCATACAATTCCCAGAACTTTGGTAAAGGTTTGTGGACTGGATGGATGCATGATCGAGCTTGAGAAAGAAGACCAGAGTTTGTCTAGCCAAAGGCATCTACACCCTGCTCTTTCATTGGAGCCACCCTTAGAGGTGAAGTAGGAATTACATACCCAGAATAGATTTTTTTCTTTTTTGGACTATTACTTTCAACTTTACGGCTGCTGAAAAGTTGCGTGGTTGAACAGTTTTGTTCAAATACCTCTGCATGTTTGTTGCACTCTTCAACCTGTCATACTGAAGAGCAGAACAATTTTGTTTTGTACCTAATAATTAGAAAATACGTATATTGAAAAATGAAGAAAAATAAAATGATTTTAGTAAATATGCAACTATAGTGTTTTAAGACAGGAAAAAGGGATGATGTTATTCTCACACACAAAAAAAAAATTTGGTAGAAGTGCAGATCCTGTTTACCACACCTGTCAACTGTGATGTTCAGTGAAAATGTTCTAGGCTCGGCAAAAAAATAATTTAAATACCTACTGCAATGTGTGTCCTTCCCTTCCCTGCAGCTATGGAAAGAATAACACGATGTGATTTTTTTGACTAAAACAGAGAAAATTCTCTGTAATCTTTAAAACTTAAATTGGCTGTCATACTGTTAGCCCTTACTTGTCCATCTTGATTGCTGGTAGTTGTGCCACATGGGGAAATTGTGTGTTGCCAAAGCCTTAAGTGACTGAATTGGGTGGTTACCATTAGAAAATCTCTATGGTGTGAATGTTCACATTTCTTATAAGCCAGAATGCCCCACCCTGTTTTCCTCCTCAAATTTATGAGTTCCTTGGCAGTATTGGCAGAAATACTGGAGCCAAGAGACCTTTCTTACTCAAACCAGTTCTTCACAGGAAAAAACATGAACAGTAATATGCACATTAAATTCTTTCTATTAGGAGGGCCCATTGTTGCTACCAGTGTTTAAAAATGCCAGAAGTCAGTCTGCAATTGAAGCTAATTTTATGGGTGAAGGGAAGAGGAGTTTGGGAAGGTCCTATTGCAAATGACTGGCTAAAGCCTTGATTGCATTTCTTATTAGTAGGCAGAGTGAATTATTAATCTTCTTATGGCCACAATTAAAGGGCCATGAATCAGTTTCCAGACTATTTTAGTTAGCCATTTTAGATGGGTGAAGATTTAAGTATTTTATCTAGGTTTCATAATTTGAGTTTATTTATACCCATTTATGGATACTATAAACAATAATCCTGTTAGTTTTGCTGGCTTCAGCATTTACCAAGTTTATTCCAGGTCCTAAGAGGAAACATTTGAGGAAACGAGTCTTTCTATTTTCAATAAGTATTTGTTGATAGATACTTATATGTGGTTGTATAATCAACTCTCCATAATATCTGGTTGGTAAGTGGGCACATTCAGCGATTGTCAGAAGTGTATATGTTTTTTTCCTGATACTGCTTCTGTTCATTCTTCCTATTACTGTCTACTGATTTTGACTGATACAATTTTGTCAGTTTTCCAATTCAAAACTCTCTAATGGGAAAGAGGCAAACCTGCTTAGGAGCTGGTAGAAATGGTGAGGATTGGTCAGATGGTGGCTGTCCTTTAGCACATAGGATTAAGAGTTGATTGCAAGGTGTGCATCTCATCAATTTCTTTATTTTCCTAAATACCTTTTCTGTAAACCTTTGTGACCATGATGCACAGCCTTTGTAGGTCACTCTTCCTGGGCTTATTTTTCCACCTAACTGCTCTCCTTAATTTTCTCTTTCTCTCTTCCTTTATTCTTATGTAGGCCTGACCAAAGATGGCAGTAATGAAAATATTGATTCTCTTGAGGAAGTCCTTAATATTTTAGCAGAGGAAAGTTCAGATTGGTTTTATGGTTTCCTCTCATTTCTCTATGATATAATGACTCCTTTTGAAATGCTAGAAGAAGAAGAAGAAGAAAGCGAAACCACAGATGGTGTTGATGGTACGTCACAGAATGAAGGGGTTCAGGGAAAGACTTGTGTCATTTTGGATTTACATAACCAGTAACTTTGATTCAGGGACCGAAGTCACTGGCTTATGAGAACCTGGAGCAGTCTCCTCTTCTTTCCTTTACCATGGCTTACGCAGGGCTTAACGTGCAGTGGGGCAGTTGTGACCTTAAAGTTGTTACAGTCACCCATGTGATCTTGCCCAGTGCAGCTCCTCGCTAGACCCTTGCTTGGCTCCCCCCACCAATAGTGAAGAAAGTGGCATCCCTCATTCTTGTAGCTGTCTACAAAGTTCAGTGAAAACGATGTTC